CCCAAGTGGGTGACCAGGACCTCCTGATCCCTTCCTTCCTAAAAAAGTCTTTATTCTCTCTATGTACACTTGCCACGTGAGCTGCTTCCCCATTGGATCAATATTACCTAAGCGGCTATACCTGTAATCTTACTGGTTGATTAAAGTGTTGACCCACATGGTACCCACCCTGTGATTTTGCTCTATATAACTTCCTCTGTGAAGTGGGGTCCACTGCAACCCACTTTCGTGTCCCCTCCTGTCTCTCAGGAGCTCTCTCGATAAAATTTTCCTACTCTTAACCTTCATTGTTTCCTTAGAATTCATTCTCTCATTCTGGGAAACACAAACTTGGGGTATCTGATATCTAGCAGGTTGGGAGTTACATTTATTTCCCCTATATCCTGGGAGGCTGAGACAGAAGGGTCATAAGTTCCACCCAGCCTGGGCAATTTAGGGATTTAGGTAACATGCCTCAAAAAATAAAAAGGGCTGGGGATGTAGCTCAGTGTGAAGGTCCCGAGTTCAATTCCTAGTACAAAAAAAAAGGGAAAGAAAGAAGAAAAATCGAAATGGACAGACAAACAAATACAGCCCACGCACTCTAAGATCCTGGAGCTGGGACAATTCTGCCTCATCCACTCAGGAATTCTCAAATGTTTCTTTATATTCTGCCTCTATGATTCTACTTTTACTGTACATTCCTATTCAACCTTTCATGATCCCTACCAAAAAAAAAAACAACAGTTAGTAGTATCCAGAAGTGCAGGGGTCTAGGGAGAAGAGGGAACGTATAGTTTCTGTTGGGGATGATGAAGTTGTGGAGATAGTGACGGCTCTTGTGAAACACAGTGAATGTACTTAATACCGCCAAAGCGTACATTTAAAAAGGGTAAAATGGCAAACGTCATGTTATATATATTTGCCACAATAATAAGTGTCCAGAAACAAAAGCCTGCAGGCTAAGCTGTCACTAGTACTTCCAAAATCTGACTAGGAGGCCGATCGCCCTGGCGTGGAGGGGCTGTAACCCAGGCGGCTCCCACGGCCCTTCTGTCCCAGAGGGCAAAACATTAACGACTGGATGCAAACTTCATTCTAACTCCTGATAGGCCAGTGCTTTTCAAACAGCTCCTCTAGGGACCCGGATTCTGCAGGTTCCTGGTGGGGCTTGCATTTCAAAAAGTCCCACGCAAGGGCCCCATCACTGATGCCTCACCAGAAAACACAGAGAACATCACACTTGCAAATAAATTCCTGAAGGACTTCACTACTCTACCGACCCCAGGTGGTAAAGACATACGCTGGAGAAACTGCCCCGAGCCTGACTGAAGAGGTCCCTGCAGTGCCCGCCCACCTGTGGGCCCGGCGCACAGTGGCCTCCTGCAAACCCCAAAGCAGTCTGAAAAACACCCTTCTCCAGCGCGAAGAATGCCTGGAATTCAGTGGCCTTCTTCCTATGGAAAAGATCTCCAGCTCGGTGCTCACTGAGTTCTCTACAGAAGAACCTAGCGGTGCACCCCCTGGAAAGTAACAACGCCCTAACGTGGACAGTTCGGCCCCTCCCTTACAAATGGGTCGGGAAGCACAAAAGTAAACGTTTAAGGAATCTTGTCCACAGCTCTGCAGCCCGAGGCAGAGATCGCTGCCTGCGGTGAGTGGGCGGGAGAACCTGGGGCAGCGCAGTCTTCAGCCGGGCCCGAGACGCAGCGGGGTGGCCCGGGCAGCCCCCACCTGCGCCCCGCTAACCAGCGCGGCCTCCGCCCTCCTCCATCCTGGGCACCGGCTCTGGCCCCTCAGCAACTCTAAGGCCTTTCCGATCTGATTACATAAAAGTTCAGCAGAAAGTGAAAAAGCTTCCCTGGGGGAAGGCAGTGCCAGGCACCCGTAGGTGCCCCAGGTGCATGCGCAAACTCCCTTGGGACGGGGGACGCGCGCCCTGTCAGCCCCCAGGGGGAGGGGGAGACAGAAGCTGGAGGGGGAGTCGAACAGGCGATCAGAGAGAGAATCCACTCGCATTTACCAAGGCCACTGCTCCCACCACCCATGTAGCGGGCCTGCGGGGTCTTGGACCCCGCAAATCCCTCCCTAGTAAGTCAGGACGCGAGGAAAGGGGCCCTGGCGACCCCTGGACACGGAGTGCCACGCCCCGGATAGCTCTCCTCGCCACTCTCGAAGCCCCCAGGCTCTCGCCCGGAACGAGAGGGAGGCGGTTACTCGCCTGGAGACGGTGGCGAGGTCCTGAGGGCGAAGTGGCTCCCGGCCCGGGTGGCCCTTGCGCTCCCTGTGCGCGTCGCTGGCAGCGCCTGGCCGAGGCGGGAGCACGTTGTCCGGCCGCTCCTGTGTATTGTTGTGACTCAGGCTATTTCCTGCTTTGAGGTTGGAGAGAAAGAAAAAATACTGTACGAGTAACTAGAGTGGGGTCAGGAGTCGCTGGGCGGTGGCGAGCCGGGGAGCCGTGGCCCAGAAAGGAAGGGGGTGGCCAGAGGCTGTCACCTGCTTCTGCCAGGCGCCGGCGACCAGGAAAAAAGATGCCGCTTCTCGCAATGCTAGTTTGCAGCGTCGGGAGAGACAGAGAGGGAGCCACCCAGTGGTGGGGTAGGACTGCGGCCTAGAGGGCGACCTTGCGGCTCGGGCCCACACGCTCCCGGGTTTGCTTCGCGATCCTGCCCAGGGCTGTAGTGGAGGACCGCCCCCCTTCACAGATCGTGGGACACGGTTGGGGCCCTTCTGGGTGGATGTTTGGTGGCGGGGGGGGGGGGGTCGTTTTGGTTCAAGGAAGATGGAAAAACAGTTAATGCTTATGATGAAAAGTTAACTTTTAGGATCAGCTTCCGTTCCCCTCCCCCGCCAACCTCGCCCTTCCCCAGGATGACTGGGTTTGAGGCCCCAGTCCGGAAATACCGGTTCCTCGCTCGGGACAAAGGTGAGGGTAAACAGAAAGCCAGCTTCCGCAGTCACAGGGGAATGCCTGCTCTGCCGGGCTGGGAAGGCTGAGTTCTTTTAGTGCCCCGGGCTGCACCTGGCTAGCTGCTGCCCCTGCTGCTAAGCCGAGTGTGTTCAAAAGCTTAGCAAGAACTTTATTTTGGGATAATGAAAAAGCTCCCAGATGGAAAGTGGTGATGGCTGTACAGTGTAGACGTACTTAATGTCACTAAATTGACTTTAAAATGACTAAAATTTATGTTGTGTGTATATATAATTCCAGCCAGTAATTCCAGCACGCTGGGAGGCTGAGGCAGGAGGATCACAATTTGGAGCCCAGCCTGGGAAATTTAAGGACTTGTAAGACTGTCTCAAAATATAAAATTTTTAACGGGGGTTGGGGGTGGAGATGTAGCTCAGTGGAAGGCTGAGTTCAATCCTCAACTTTAGGGCTGCCAAATTCGCCTTTCTTCCCCAACAAACTTTTCCCAGAAGTAATGGAATGAACAACAGTTCATTTTTAAAAGTACTTTTTAAAAGCTTAGGTTCAGGGGGCCGGGGATTTAGCTCAGTGGTTCCACTGCCTGCCTCGAAAGCTCGAGGACCTGAGTTTGATTCCCCGTACCAAAAAAAAAAATGCTCAGGTTCAATTCGGGGAGACTTCCAGAATACCTGATAGCAAGTTACTTAAAGAAGAGGGACATTGAGCTCGGGATTTAGCCCAGCAGCGTATCGTCTGCCTAGCAAAGCGTGAGGTCCGGAGTTCCATTCTGGTACCAAAAAAAAGAAGAAGAAGAGGAGGACATTGCGCCTAAATGACAGTATAATTTTAAGAAAGACTATATAGAAAAGGAACAACATACACGTATTTGTTGTAATGGAAAGATGAATTATTAAATAAAATGGTAACTTACAAGGCAAGGAGAACAGGAGGGAAGGGGCAAGGATAGATTTTAGACTTTGCTGAATAAACCTTGTTTTATAGATTTCACTTCAGAGTGATGTGCTGTACATTTAGTAATCAAAAGCAAAATGCAACAAAGGAATATAGGTATCAAGTTAGTGGCTTAATCATATATAAGGAAATTATTTCTGTTCACCTTAAATTTGGTTGGTTGATTCTGCATTTCCTAAGGATATACCTAATGATGAAGAGAAAAAAGTAAAGTGCTCTTCAGTAATCATAATGTTAGTAGTAAGTAATTACGTCAAAATCCTTAGGCATCAACATTTTTTCAGTGTAAAAGTGATATATTCAAAAAAGTTATGCAATATCAAAATTGGAATTGGAATTATTTAAAACACATGATATACTTCTCTTCTTACAAACAGTGTCCAAGGTCTACACACCATCAGATGATGACCAAATTAGTGAGAACAGGCACTTCTACATCCTGCTCTGTGCTCTCTAAAGACAGTTTTCCTTTTCAGGCCAAAGTGCTAGACATTTGAGCAAAAATAGGAAAAATAGCCAAATGTGCTTGCCTGGGCTACATAGTGAGTTCTAGGCCAGCCTGAACTACATAGCAAGACAGACAGACAGACAGAAAGAAGGAAGGAAGGAAAGAAGATTGCATATTAGATATTGAAACATTTAATATTATATATCCATGAATCATTAACTGTAACTTTTTTTAAAAACCAGCTTTTTTTTTTGGTACCGGGGATCGAACTAGGGTCCTTGTGTTTGCGCAACAGGCGAAACCACTGAACTAAATCCCCGGGCAAAAAAACCAACTCTTAATTGGTCAGTTTTGGAAATGCAGTAGAACTAATTCATTATTTTGAAAGCTGGTAAATGGTAAAGGAAGGGAAAGAATTGCACATTTTCCTCGCCTTTTCTAGATCAAATCTAGCACTTCTTTTGTGCCCTCCCCATCAGCCTCGCCTGTCTCTTATTCTAGTCACTGTGGCAACACCAAATTCTAGATGGACTCTGGCCAGTTTTGTGCAGGAGCAACCTGAAGAAAGGTCATGTCTCAGGCCAGAGATTTAGATCAGTGGTTTCACCGCCTGCTGTGCAAGCTCAAGGACCTGAGTTGGATCCCCGGTACCAAAAAAAAAAAAGAAAGAAAGAAAGAAAGGTCATATCTTACCTTCCACCGAAGGGTTTCTCTTCTGTCAGGGAGAGCATGGGAAGCCGAGGAAGTTAGGGAGGTCCCTGTGTGCACGTCACCCTGAAGAGTGAGGAAGTTAATGTTTCATGGTCCAACATTCGACCAGTGGGCGACAGATGGGAGCTGAGAGATAAACGCTCCTCCCCCTGATCCCAAGTGGAACTACTATAGACAGCTAAGTGAGGAAGGAATATTACAGGCAGTCAGACAGGACTGGGCCCTCAAGGGAGTCAGTGCAGAGGATGAGAACACATTACAACTGCAGCTGGATTCACACCTGTCCAAGGCCAGGTCTCAAAGAAGCAATGACCTGGCCTACCTGCCTCACCAAGGGATAAGCAATACATTGAAGATTATACTGTAACTGATATCACCTGGTCCAATAAAGTCTAGATAGACACCAGCCACCCAGTGGGTGACCAGGACCTCCTGACCTCACCCTTCCTAAAAAGGTTTTTGTTCTCTCCATGTACATTTGCCACATGACCTGCTTCCCCACTGGATCACTATTACCTAAGTGGCTATACCTGTAATCTTGTTTTTTTTGTTGTTTTTTGGTACCGGGGATCAAACTCAGGTCCTTGCGCTTTCGAAGGAGGCGGTGAAACCACTGAGCTAAATCCCAGGCTATACCTGTAATCTTATTGGTTGATCATAGTTTTGACCCATGTTATACCCACCTCATGACTTTGCTCTATAAAACTTCCTTTGAGAAGTGGGCTTTTTGGCAACCCACTTTCGCATCCCCTCCTGTCTCTCAGGATCTAACTCTCAATAAATTTTTCTGCTGGGGATTTGGCTCAGTGGCACCGCTGCCTGCCTCGAAAGTGCAAGGTCCTGAGTTTGATCCCCAGTACCAAAATAAATAAATAAATTTTTCTTATTCTTAACCACCATTGTTCCTTAGAATTCATTCTTCAATTTTGGGGAGTACAAACTCGGCTTATCTGACATGTAGGAGGTTGGGAGTTACATTTATTTACCCTAAATCAGAACCATTCTGAGATTCATTCTGCCCACCTTCTTGAGTGGTTACACAGGGGCAACCACGAGGTGGCCTAAGCAGCCCCACGCTGCTCAGTGAGGCTCCTCAGAACCACAGGCCCCACTAAATGCTTGGTCTCTAGGCTCTGCTTCCCGGGAAGGCAAGCCTAATACTTGTACAAAGCTTATTCAGGTTGACTTAAGAGTCTATTCGGAGGGCCGGGGATTTAGCTGAGTGGTTTCTCCGCCTGCTGTGTAAGCGCAAGGACCCGCGTTCAATCCCCAGTACCAAAAAAACAAACAAAAACAAAAAAAAGAGTCTATGAGGAAGTGACTCCAGCCAATAAATATGGAATGGCAAAATCTGAATACCAGACCTTTGTAAAACCTTAATAAAATCATCATCATCAAAAAATGCTCACTAACATCACATAAAAGATCACCAAGCACATGCTATCTGATAGAAATACACAGCTCCACAAGTGACACAGTCATGCCCAAAAAGGAATCCTGAATCTGATCCAGCTTCTAGGTCCAAGTACATTTTATAAAACTACTTGAACAGAAAAATGTGGGGCTTTTGTTTGTTTTGGGCCACGGTGAGGATTGAACCCAGAACCTTATGCAAATAAGTACAGAAGAATGTGTTTAACACTTCAGGGCACAATCAATAAAATCCACAATGTAAATAAATAAAAGACAAATTACCTGGTCTCCTCAAGTAGCAAGCCTTTATAAAAACATTGGAGAAGCCCATAAATTGAAAGACTTAAATGATATCAATAAAATATAACACAAAACATCTTGTTTACAGCCTTGTTCAGTCAAACCAAGTACTGAAAAAAAACATCTGAGGCATTTAGAAGATAAACAAATTTTTTTGAGACAAGGTCTCACTGTATAGTCCAGGTTGGCTTGGAACTCCTGGAAACCCTCCTCCCTCAGCCTCCCCAGTACTGAGATTACAGGCGTGCACCACCACACCTGGCTCCTGGAGAAATTTTATATTCATTAAGTTAGTGAAAACTTAGGAAAAAATTTAAACAGATTTATTCATTTGCCACTGATTTAATTTTGTACATGGAATTCATTAATACTACCACTTACCTGTGGTGGGTGGCATGTTATATATGTATGCATATAAATACATATGTACCACATACACATAAAATGAAATGACTGTTTAATTTCTTTCTGTATCTGAAACGAAATGAGTATTTCCAACAAGACTTGGATTGTGTTTCAAATGTGCTCAGGTAGGAAGAAAGGAACTCTGGCAAAGGTGGTAACTAACATCATCTTGTTCTTCTCATCTACGCTGTTCCTTCCAGTACGTGCTATATGTATTCCTCTGTCTGTGTTTTTCTGTCATCAGCACGACAGCATTTTCAGTACTTAATATGCATTTCCACTCTGAAGACTAAACATTGTAAAATCTGCTCTGAAAAATAAAGTGCAGCGTGTCCATGGATCACCAAGGGCAGCAGGGTGAAAAACGGGATAAGAACTCTGAGTTCCAACTCACTGCTCAGCACAGCCTCACCCTGACACTGGCACCAGGACAGCTCTGTGGGAGCCAGACAAAGCCCTATTCTGCACTTCTGGGACAGTGTGCTCTGGTACTCAGCGTCCTGAGGTCCTGCAGTGGATGCTGGGCTTCACCTGCAATGGATGCTGGGCGGACAACAGGCAGGGGAAAGAGTCAGGTGCAGTGCAAGGGAGCCACTTGCTCTGACAGGACTATGCCTTCTTTTCTGGCAATGCGGGTACCTTGGAGCCCCAGAAAGAGCCCTTGTTTCTTCTCCTGACTTTGGTACCTGCTGCCTGTGGGATCTTGAGTTATTCAGTTTCCTCATCCTTCGAGCAAGTAACTCCCTCCACTGAGATCTAACTCAGAAAAAAAAACAAACCCAAGTATTTGAGAGAGGTATATTCAAGAATGCTTGTTCCTGTGTGTCTGGAATAGAAAACAAAATTAAGAGTGGGTGGACAGGGCCGGGGATTTAGCTCAGGGGTGCCCTTTTGGGCCCAAGGTCCTGGTACGAAGAAAAAAAACAGAAAGAGTGGGTGAACCAAGGCCTGGTGCTGCATGCCTGTAATTCTAGCACTCTGGGAGGCTGAGGCTAAAGGATCTCAAGTTTGAGGTCACCCTGGGGGCAGGGGGAGTCTGGGGAGGTAGCTCAGTGCAAAGGCCTTGGGTTCAATCCTCAGTACCAATTTTTTTTTTTAAAGTACATTCATGGGGCTAGGGATTTAGCTCCGTGGTGCCGCCTGCCTCACAAGCTCAAGGCCCTCAGTTCCGTCCCCAGTATCCAAAAAAAAAAAAAAAAAAGTACATTCAAAGTGTAACAGAGAAGAGCTTAACACTGTATTCACTAGATAAAACAGCAAGCACACACATGGGGTAAGAGCTAGTTCCAGTCTTGCAGCTAGTTAAGCTTTAAAATGTCAAAGAGTCCTGGGCTGGGGATTTAGCTCAGAGGCACTGTGCCTGTCTCGTAAGCTCGTAAGCGCAAGGTCAATCCCCCCCCCCCAAAAAAGTAAAAGAATCCACAAGAACAAAGAATAAAAGTTAAAATAAGAGGGAGATAAGGTCCTTTTCTCCCAGGAACAAAGTATTCCCAGTTAGTTTTCAATTAGCAATAATCGCGCCTCGGATAAACCTCATTTGCTACGATACTGCCACTGGGCAAAACTAAAGTATTCCCAGTTAGTTGAAGGCGCCTCCCTAACCTGGGGCAGGGCTTTAGAAAAATTTAAAAATGCACAATGACCAGTTTCCTTGGAAAAGTTTCCAGTGAACCAGCTAAATAACTAATTTTCTTTAGACCCTAAACCTACAAAGCCATGTTGGAAGCAGTCCCCACCCCTCTGCTTATGTCTGGGAGGCCGGAACAGAGAGAAGGAGTCAGCTCCACTTGGAAACTGAAGCTTTCTTTCCCTCGTCCTCGTATTTCCAATAAACTCTCTCCTAATTCCCTCCTTTTGCCTGTGATTTTATTCTTCAATTTCATAAAACAAAAAACTCAGTTTATACAAAATGCAAAATTGTTTCAGTAGGATGTGTTAAACGTATTTTGTTGCCTTTCAGAGTAATTTTCTTTTCTTTTTTTCTGGCACGGTGAATTGAACCTAGGGAGTACCTGCTACATCCCAGCCCTTTCATATTTAGCTATTTATTTCTTTACATTGGACTGTGGAGTGAAATTGAATCCATAGCCTCAAGTGTGCTAGGCAAGAGCTCTACCACAAAGCCCTAGTCTTGTTGTCTTTTTTGATTTTTGTAGACAGAGTCTCACTGTATTGCCCAGGCTGGCTTCGAACTTTCAATCCTCCTGCCTCAGCTTCCTGTGTACCTGGTATTATTATAGGTGTGTGCCACTATGCCCAGCCTTCCTCATTCTGAGACCTTGGGGATGTGGATGATTTCCAGGTCTTTGCATATATTTCTTAGCTTAGAACCACAAATCTCTAGCAAATATTACAATGACAGCCAAAGAGAGTGGAAACAGGCTAGAGAGAGTATCGGTGTTCAGTGTTTAGTCTCTCCACAAATTTGGGGACAGGGTTCAGTCGAATTTTGGATGTCTTTCTCGGCTTTGTCTGATTTGAGGTTGCAACTTGGCGTCTGTATAGTCCAGTGTGCAAAGCTCTCTGAGGGACATGGCAAATTTTTTTTTAAATGTTTTTTATGGCTAATTTTTTTAATCTACTTAGTTTCAATATTAAGATTTATTTTTTTCTTTCAGAGTGAGGTTAAGTAACAATTTAAATAATTATAGGATGTATAAATGAACATCCACTCAGATAAAACATTATTGGTTAAAAGTGGCTAAGAAATATTTTGCGCGTGATAAATATAAGTTTAGGTTAACAGGCACCATCTTGAGAGGAGACAAGTTTTTTTAACCAATAAATAAATAAATTACATTAATAAAACAAGGTATCTACATGTGAAATATGATAAGTTCTTAACGTTTTTCTTCACATAGCACCCAAACTTCCAAACTGTTTAGAAAGCATCTCTTAAAATATAACTCATACCTCAAGTCATTAAAAATGGCCAAGGGAAAAAATCAATTGCGGACAAAATTTATAGCTTATATTCTTTTTTTTTTGGTACCGGGGATTGAACTCGGGTCCTTGCGCTTGTGCAGCAGGCAGCGAAACCACTGAGCTAAATTCCCAGCCCTACAGCTTATATTCTTTTGGTATCGGGGATCGAACTTGGGACCTTGTGCTTTCGAGGCAGGCACCAGAACCACTGAGCTAAATCCCCAACCTACAGCTTATATTCTTAATTCCCCATTCAATAAATATCAACTGCCAATTTATTAAACATAAAGGAACTATATATATGCAACCTGTTAGTGCTGAAAATCTTACATATACATGTATATTTAAACACCACTCTTTCTGATAGTATTTAAAATATCGCATCTCTGGTGGCAAACCTGAAAACTATCAAGCATTTCATTTCCCTACTTCTGCCCCTACTGCTACCCCTTTTTATCTTTAATATCCATTCATCCAACATCTTGTTTGGTTTGGATTTATAAATATCCTTACTTATATCCCAACACGAAACACTGACAGTATACCTTGGTAAACAAGGAAATGCACTTTCAGGTCTTCCTCTTCATCGTCTGATATCATCTGAATGGCTGTTCCTTCCAGATCTCTTTCTGGTTTCTAAATCTTTATTTGCTGTACAATTTATCTTCTCTCTCCTAACTCTGTTCGCCTCCTCTTGGCCTCATGCTTGTTTTCTGTAGAAGATGGTGATTTCTCTTAATGTTTTGCATTTGAAAGTTTCCTGCTAACAAATATGTAACCAGGGCCAGGGATTTAGCTCAGTGGCACCACACCTGCCTCACGAGCGCAAGGTCCCGAGTTTGATCCCCAATACTATTAAAAAAAAGAAAAGAAAAGAAAATATATGTGGTATGAACTTGTTTATGCAATAATTACACACACACAGACACACACGCACATATATATATTCAAATTAGTAGAAGCACCGCTAGCAGGGCGTGGTGGCACACACCTGTAATCCTAGTAATCCAGGAAGCTAAAGCTGGAGTATTACAAGGCAACCCCAGCTTGGGCAATTTACAGAGATCGGTCAGGATAGGCTAGGCTAGGATAGGATGCGCTGAAGCATGCTTAGCAACTTGGCAACAGTGAACTAGAAAAGTCAGAGAGATTGTTATGGGGGAGGGGGTGAGTACAGACCTGCACTTTGCTGGCACTGATTTGAATTTAATTAAAAGCCAGAATTGGGCTGGGGGTGTAGTTTAGTGGTAGAATACTTGCTCATCCTGCAGGAGGCCCTAGGTTAGCTCCAAGCCTGGAAGGAAAAAAAGCCAAAGTAAAATAGTCACCCCTCTGAGATGGAGGAGGTCTGGATGGGGATCCCGGGAGAGGTCGTAGCCAGTGAGTCCTGGTCCTCCAGAAAGGCTGACTGGGACCAGCTGCACATCTCAGAGACAGGCCAGCCAGGTCTCGGGGTTACAGGATGGCTGAGTGCTTCTCCTTGCTCCTCCCCTAGCCACCTCTGCAGCCATTCCTGTCAGGCCTGAGGTGAGGGTGAGGGTGCTCGGGGGCCCTCCCTGATAAACCCAGCCAGCAGCAGCCCCACCTCTTCTCTGAGCAATGGGTAACAGGACAGGCAAACAGCCCTCCTGCTCCTCTGGCACAGTGTTGAGAAAAAGGCAAGAAGACCAGCCAAAGATGGTCCCTTCCTCCTGTGCAGCCATCACCGGGTGACAGGTAACTCTGATCCCTTTCACACACATCCTATCCGCCCTGCTTTGTTCGGGTGTTTAAGTCATTCAATTTATTTATTGTTTTTAACTTTTAAAAATTTTATTAGTACATGTTTGCAGCACATGCAGTTCACAATCATCTTTGGGGGTGGGCACACATACATATGGCAGCTTTTTAAATCTCCTTCTCCTTTCCTCCCTCTCCCTTCCTCCCTCCTCTAATCCCCTTGGTGATATCATTACTCTTAGCTCATGTTATGGCATCTAGTGTTTACATTCATTGAGGTTATTAGGTTCCTGTACATGGCAGATCTTTATTTTATATAAGTCGTACAATTTAAATTCCACAGTTGTCTAAATACTGCATTGTTTCTCTGATGTGAGAAACCAAAAGTGGAAATAAGGGGACGGAAATGTATAATAGACACTGGGAAATAGGAAGGGAATGTTCCAATGGGAAGGGGAACAGGCGAAGAGGGAGGGAGAAAGGAAGGGAGGGACAAGAAAAAAAGGGAAAACAGAAAAAAATGTAAACAAAGCTTTTGTCCATAGGGAGGGGAGGGGGCTTGAGAGGAGAGGGGCGTAGGAAAAAAGGGGGGGTGCATCATGGGCAGGCGCAGATTCCCCATGATGAGTGCTACCACTGTGTATGTCTAAAATGTACCAGTAAAAGCTTTGCTTTAAAAAATAAACTCCATGTGGTAATCCAGAGCCAAGGTTACCTCTAGGTTCATCATTTCTATGGCCAAGGCTTTGACAAGCTTTTCTAAAATATCAGTTCACCTATGTTTATGGCATTCGGGTGTTGGTTATTTGGAATCTGGAAAATAGCTATTAAATACTTTATTTGTTGTTGGTTTTGTTTTGGTTTTTTTTTGGTACCGGGAATTGAACTCGGGTACTGGCGCTTGCGAAGCAGGCGGTGAAACCACTGAGCTAAATCCCCAGCCCTATTAAATACTTTATGATGATCATTTGTTAACACTCCAAAGATCACTGTAGTTTTAGTTAAGCCTCTGGTGACTACTTATTTTATTTTATTTTTTTTGTACTGGGTATCGAACTCGGGTCCTTGTGCTTGCGCAGCAGGCGGCGAAACCACTGAGCTAAATCCCCGGCCTACTTATTTTAAATTCAGATGGAAAGGTATGGTTTCGGGGGCCCAGGATTTAGCTCAGTGGTTTCGCTGCCTGCTGCGCAAGTGCAAGGACCCAAGTTCAATACCTGGTTCCAAAAAAAAAAAAAGAAAGAAAGTTACGGTTTCTCTGGAACTGGGAGGGCCCATGCATTTCCAGGAATAAAGATGCATATAAATATAAATATGTACAGATATATTTATTGGATGTACTTATAGAAAATAAAGGTATTGCTACTGACAGTATCTAACATAAAAGTCAGCTTGCTCATTTTGAGCTTAAAAAGCTATGAACAAATTTGGCACAATGGCACATGTTTGTAATTCCAGCAACTCAGGGAAGCTGAGGCAGGAGGATCTCAAGTTCAAGCCTAGCCTGGGCAATTTAATGAGACCCTATCTCAAAATAAGAGATCAGAGGATGAAGTTCAATGCTAAGGCTCTGGGTTTAATCCCCAGCACTGAAAGAAGAAAAAGAATCTATGAACGATAATATAACAATTTTATAATAATTACAGCTGGCATGGTCATTTATAGGCTAATGATAAAAATTAGAGGCTGAGATACAATTGAATTGCACCTGCACTTATTATGCATTGAGTAATGGCAGGGGTGTTACGGCCATGGCCAAAATAATGGACTCACATATTAATGAGTACTCATTTGGCATCATATGCCTCTGGCAGGAAACTGAAGTTACATAAGCATGTTAACTGATTACAAAACTCTCCTGTTTAAATCGACAGGAACAATTAAAAAAACAGGGCAAGTGAGGGTGTGGGGAAACTGCCACGTTGCTGTCACTGTACAAACTGCTCCAGTCGTTTCAGTGTTTTCAGGAGTGGAAGTGTAGTTCCACAGTAGTTCATGAACTTTGCATGCATGAGACCCTGGGTTTGATCCTTAGCACCACCCCCAAAATCAGCAAAGACTTTATTAAAAACTGCCTAAGCCATTTGCCCTCATAATTTAACCATAGGGTTCCTATCTTAGACAACAGTCTAAATGTAGAGAAAGCTATATACACAAAACTTTTCATCAGTACATTATTCATAAAAGCAAGATACTGGGAACAACTGAGATATCTAATAATTATAGGAAAGTTAATGTGCAGCCACTAAACAGCACATTCCTTTTTTTTTTTTTTTATCAGGGATTGAACTCAGGACCTTGTGCTTGTGAGGCAGGTGCAGCACCACTGAGCTAAATCCTCAGCTAAACAGCATATTCTAAGAAAATACCTAATAAATAAATAAAAAGAACATCACACGATGTATACGTGTTAATTAGGAAGAATATGTAGCAACATTTATTCAGTCAATAATTATTAAACCAACTTTATTATTCCATACTAAGCACAATGGTGAATGAGATGGGGAAAGTTTTGCCCTCATGGAGCTTTAGGGTAGAAATGAGATTATACAAAATTCACACACTGTAATTGCCACTATGCAGAAATGAAATGGGTAAGCCAAAGACAGGAGTGGAATAAATCTGGGTACAAATGGTACTTGTGTTTATTCGGGGTAGTAATAGCACTGATGATGATTTTTCCTTTTCAGCATTTTACAGCTTGTAACTGATGATTTTTACGAAAAATTTACATGACATGAAATTTACATAGAAACTTCAAGAAATAGTATCGTTAGATTTTAGAAACCAGAACAGTAATTGATACATATGGAAGGGCTGTAACCCTGTATTCACATCGACATGGGCTGAAACCAACCAATTTGTGCAGAAAGGACAGTACTGTGGAAAGTAGCAGTATCAGAGATAATTCATTTTCCTTTACTAAGGGCATGCTATGCTGTTGGCTCAAGGTCTTATAATAATGTATACAGTGGACACTTGACTTATGAACTCAATTTGTTGGCACGGGCTGGTTGTAACTCATGTTGGTCAATTGAAGGCTCAGGCTCCTCTGCACAGCCTTCAAAGTCTCTCTCCTGTATACAGGCAGATCTCAGTGTCCTTAGAAAGACATTGGCTCAGGATTCCTCACCTCCATACAGGAAAGGATGTTGTAATATTCTTTTCAGAATTCTTTAAGGGTTAAATCTAAAGCAGGACTTAAAGAAAAATAAGTTCTTCCCAGCCTTGGGGAGTCCTCCCAACCTCCTTTTCCCTGTAGCTGTAACTCCTTGCTCTGGTACAAATAAAATTGGTACAAACAACATAAAGTTTATGATGCTCTGTTTTCACATGATTTATAAAACACTATCTTTTTTCAAGGCAAAGTTACAAAACTGTTTGCCATTGTCCTGTTATCATAAACTCACTTGCTACATCACTAGAAAAGCACTTCCTTTGACAAAATGTATAAAAGCTAGAACTCTTCTTTGTTTAATGCTCAGCCATTTTGGACAGAGTCTAGTTAGCCAGTGTATATACCTTAAATAAATCCTCCTGACTTCCATTTGGTCTCTCCTATCTCTTAAAATTCTGCAGACCATTTGGAAGCACAAATGGCTGGCATTTGGTTGTAACTCACGACTTTGTTCATAAGTTAAAACTAAAATTCCAGTCATAACCCAAGTTGTTTATGTGTCAAGCTAGTTTTAACTGGAGGGTCCACTGTACTTTTATTTTTTTGCTGGTGGTGGGTATCAAACCCAGGACTTAGTACATGCTAGGCAAACACTCTACCACTGAGCCACACCCCCAATCCAATGTGTAATTTTTAAAAATTTTATTGGTACATTTTAGATATACAATATAATGACATTCAATGTGTAATTTTTGTTTTTGTTTTGTTTTGTTTTGAGACAGGATCCACTCTGTAATTTAGGCTGGCCTTGAACTCATTCTATGGCCTACACTGGCCTTGAACTTGTGGTAATCCTTTCTGCATCAGTCTCCTGAATGCTAGGAATATAGATGTATGCCATCAAACCCAGTACAATGCATAATTTTAAGAGATACTTTTTTTTTTTGGTACAGGGATTGAACTCAGGTCCTTGTGCATGTGAGACAGGCGGGGGCACCACTGAGCTAAATCCCCAGCCCTACAATGTGTAATTTTTTTTTTTTGGTAGCAGGTATCGAACTTGGGACCTTGTGCTTTCGAGGCAAGCAGCAGAACCTCTGAGCTAAATCCCTGGCCCATACAATGTGTAATTTTAAAAGAAACATAGAGGAGTCTACTTTTCTGCCCATCTAAAAACTCCAGATAAAGGCATGTGGTACACAGCCTAGCCCTTGGACTCCCACAGACCTGGGCATAAGTCTGAATGTTGTCACTTTCTAATCAAGTGACTTTTAAAAAAAAATTGCTATGAAGTTCAGGTTGACCTCGAACTCACTCTGTAGCACAGGCTGGCCTTGAACTCCTGGTGATCCTCCTGTGGTACCGCACCCAGCTCTCTTTCCCTTTTTAGACTGAGGATAGTATCACCTGTCTAGAGGATAAACTCCAGGAGTGTGTATCAGGAGTATAATCAGCTACAGATATCAATATTTCAGCCACAGCCAGGCATGGTGGTGCACCTCTGTAATCCCAGCACTTGGGAGGTTGAGGCAGGAGGATCACTGTGAGTTCAAGGCCAACCTGAACTACATAGTGAGACTCTGTCTCAAAAAAAAAAGAACCTCAACCACACCGGCCAAACAAGATAGGCTTTGGGCTGGGGATTTAACTCAGTGGTTTGGGCACTTGCCTCACAAGTGCAAGGTCCCAAGTTCAATCCCCAGCACAAAAAATAAATAAATAAATAAATAAATAAATAAATAAATGATAGACTTTCATTTTGTTCACATTATAAAACATATGGAGGTAGACTGTTCAGTTTGGATTCAGCAACTCAAATAAAATAAGGGATGTGGCTTTTCCAGACTTCCTACCATCTTTGCCTATGTTCTTGACTCTCATGGGTCTAAGACAGTTTCTCCACCTTCAGGCATGTAGAGTGTTTTGTAGGCAAAATCCTAGCCAGCTGAATTTACCTGCAAGCTCATCTGCTTACCTTCTAATAGTCAAATTTGGGTCCTATAGCCATGTCTAATTCCAAAAGATTCTGGGAAAGTGTGCTGGTGTTTATAGTTTTTGCCTCCCCATGCTAGGCAAGTACTCTACCATGGAGCTCTGTTCCCAGCCCATGTATTGTTTGTTGTTTTTTTAAACATGAGTTTATTGTCTTCCAAACAAAGTTGTGATTACTTTAGAGAAAAAGAAGCCAGTATGATGGCACATGCCTATAATCCCAGCACTCTGGGAGGCTAAGGCAGGAGTATTCCGAGTTTGACCCCAGTTTAGCCAACTGAGTGACTGACTCAGTGATATTAGAGACAGCTAAGTGGGGTAGAAACATTATAGGCAGTCAGACAGGACTGGGCCCTCAAGGGAGTCAGTGCAGAGGATGAGAACACATTACAACTGCAGCTGGATTCACACCTGTCCAAGGCCAGGTCTCAAAGAAGCAATGACCAGGCCTACCGGCCTCACCAAGGGATAAGCAATACATTGAAGATTATACTGTAACTGATATCACCTGGTCCAATAAAGTCTACATAGACACCAGTCACCCAGTGGGTGACCAGGACCTCCTGACCTCACCCTTCCTAAAAAGGTTTTTGTTCTCTCCATGTACATTTGCCACATGACCTGCTTCCCCACTGGATCACTATTACCTAAGTGGCTATACCTGTAATCTTATTGGTTGATCATAGTTTTAGTATATGTGCTGCCGAAGCGAGCACTGGTTGATCATAGTTTTGACCCACATTGTACCCACCTTGTGATTTTGCTCTATAAAACTTCCTTTGAGAAGTGGGCTCATTGGCAACCCACTTTCGGGTCCCCTCCTGTCTCTCGGGAGCCATCTCTCAATAAATTTTTCCTGCTTTTAAACTCCATTGTTCTTTAAAATTCATTCTTCAGTTTTGGAGAGCACAATTTGGCAGATCTGAATCTAACAGGTTGGGAGTTATAGTATTACCCTATGTCAGTGAGACCGTATCTCAATCAATTTTCCTGAAAAAGGGCTGGGGATATAGCTCAGTGTGAAGGTACTAGATTCAATCCCCAGTACTGGAGAAAGAAGGAAGGAAGGAAGGAAGGAAGGGAGGGAGGAAGGGAGGGAGGAAGGGAGGGAGGGAGGGAGGAAGGAAAGAGAGAGACAGAGAGAGAGGGAAAAGAAAAGAAAAAAAAAAGAAAAGAGAGAGAGGCAGAAAGGCACTTTGGGAGACTGAGGCAGGAGGATCGCCACAGGTTCAAGGCCAGCCTGAGCTACATAGTGAGTTCAAGACCAGCCTGGACTACAAAGCAAGACTCTGTCTCAAAAGAAAAAAAGGTCTGGGGATTTAGCTCAGTGGTGCCATCGGCTGCCTCAGAATCATAAGGAACTGAGTTTGATCCCTGGTACCAAAAAAAAAAAAAGAAGAGAGAGACAAGAAAGGAAGGGGAAAAAAGGAAGGAAGAAAAGGATGTTGGATAGGGAAGCAGCAGTCCCTGTTAGGTACACACCAACGTGGTAACAGTCATCATCTCTGATTAAGAGTTATGGATCTTTTTACTTTTTTATCCTTGGTGCTGGAATGGAACCAGGGCCTTGCACATGCCCAGCAAACGCTCTACCACTAAGCTATCCCCTCAGCCCATATTAATTAATTAATTAATTAAACAATTTTTTTTTTTTGGTACCAGGGATAGAACTCAGGACCTCGCGCTTGCAAGACAGGCATGATGTCACTGAGCTAAATCCCTGGCCCCTATATTTATTTATTTATTCATTCATTTATTCATTTATTTATGTATTTTTTGGTACCGGGGATTGAACTCGGGTCCTTGCACTTGTGCAGCAGGTGGCGAAACCACTGAGCTAAATCCTCGGCCCTATATTTATTTTTAATATGCGTAAATCCTGCAGTTGAGCAGGAAAAAGCACTGCACAGGTTTTACAACTTGCCCAAGAGATTGTGGCACGGAAAGCCCCTGGGCTCCCAGCTGACCGCATACCACACTACCTCACTGCGGGCTTGGTTTGGGTCTGTTCCGCAGAGAGCGAGGTTTCCAATCTTGGAGTCCCTCACCGTCCCCCTCTCCGAGTGAACCTTGTTGGTTGGTACCCAACCTTCCTTCCCCCCAAGCCCTTTCCTAACAGCCCTGGGGTTTATCCTCCTCCTCCTGCAGCACTGACTCCCAGCTTCAAGGACATGCAGGTCCTGTCCCTCTGACTAGCAACCGGCTCTTGGCTCGATGAAAGCATGAGAACTTTCTCAGGTCCTAACCTGTTCCTCGCTGAGCTTGGGACGTGATTCAGATGAACGAAACTCCAGGGGAAGTTGGCCTTGGACTTCTGGTTGGGACTTTGTCTCTCTCACAAGAAAAAGTCACATGCACAGGGGGCTTCTGGGGTGCCAGTAGTTTCTGTTTCTTGCCCTGGATGGCAGTTATGTGAGTCCTAGCTTTGCAAATATTACCCGATGGAGCACAGCCCTTGGGCTGTACTGGTAAACAAAAACTGCTGTATGCACTTTGCCATATGCGCCTCACATTTCACACCTTATTTATTATTTTTAGAGGCCCCTTTGAGCTCCACATTTCACAATTTTAGAAGTTTAAAACAATAAAGAAGGGCCAGGGATTTAGCTCAGTGGCACTGTGCCTGCCTCGCAAGCCCAAGGTCCTGAGTTCAATCCCCAGTACAGCTAAATAAATAAATAAATAAATAAATAAATAAATAAAATTCCAGCCAGGTGTGGTGGCACACACCTGTAATCCCAGCACTCAGGAGGCGGAGGCAGGAGGACTATCAGAGTTTGAGGCTAGCATGGGCTACATAGTGAGTTAGTGAGTTCAAGCCCAGCCTGGAATATACAGCAAGACCCTGTCTCCAGAAACAAAAACAAAACAAAACAAAATTTTAAAGATCCAAAAAAAGGCTGGGGATGTACCTCAGTGCAAAGGTCCTAGGTCCAATCCACAGTGCTGAAAACAAACAAATAACAATAACATGGCTGGGGATTTAGCTCAGTGGTTTCGCTGCCTGCTGTGCAAGCACAAGGACACGAGTTCAATCCCCAGCACCAAAAGAAAAAACAAAAACAAAAACAAACACACTGGTCCCTTTGCCTCTACTAATACCTCTTCTTGTCTTCCTATTGTATCTTGTCTAGCTGATTTGCCCCTCCACCTCCAGCTGTCTGCTCACAGCCTTTTCACCCAGTTTGAGTCACTTCCGGTATGAATTCCTTTGAAAGACTTCTTCTCCAGGTGAAATCTTTTCCTGTCCTTGTGGAAGAAAGGGAAACCCCTCACCCGTCACTCAGGGCACCAAAAAGCTCAATGCAGTTTCCTAGTGACCTTCATCTGTAAACAGCACTTCTGCCAACCCGACCCTTCCCAGAAGAGCTCCCTCTGGGTTTCTCATAGGATGGTTTACCTAAGTGCTTAGATGTCGCCCTCCCTCCAAAGCCGTCTGTGGTGAGGTGGAGCCTTCTTTTTCAGAGGCGGCTGAACCTAGAGTGTGTGACTGATTCATGGTGGGGCTAGGCCCAAAGGCACTAAGATTAAGGGCATGAGTGCTACTGGCCCTAAGTAGTTTGAATGAGATAAAAGGGGTGCAAAGAGGTTCCCTGTTGCTTTTACTGTCTTCCACTGCCATCAACTGTTGCCCCTCTCCCACCGCGCCTTGGAGCCAGCCAATTATGGACTGAAACCTCTACAGAACCGTAAACCAAATAAACCTTTCCCCCTTTAACTTTGGGTGTCAGGTATTTTTGTCTCAGCAGGAAGAGGAAAGTAACTAATACACTAAGGCACCACCCTTCTGCCCTTAATCCACCCATTGAAGTCCTGGTCTGCAAACTCACTTTGTCTACTGAAGCGCTGCTGATCTCACCAGCGTGGCACGACCCTGCTCCACTCCACGCCGAGGAGCTGGGATCCTCGGCCCTGTGCCTGGGGTTTGACTTTTGCTGGCCTCTTGGCTATTCAACCTGTACCAAATTCCCCCTGCTCTTCCTGCTTGGCTCCAGAGTCCCCTTTGTTAAGCACACTCAGGAGACGCCCCCAACATACACTGGTCCCCAAACTCTTCACAGACAAAGCTTACACCTGGCATGATGAAGTGCAGTGTGTATCCCATAAAGAATATACGATTTTTTTTTTTTCTTTTGGTACCGGGGATCGAACTCAGGTCCTTGCGCTTGCGCAGCAGGCGGCGAAACCACTGAGCTAATGGGCTGGGGATTTAGCTCAGTGGTTTCACCGCCTGCTGCACAAGCGCAAGGACCAGAGTTTGATCCCCAGTACCAAAAAGAGAATATATGTTGATGTGAAAACTGAATTGTCTCTTGCCAAGCTGTAATTGCTTATATGAATGCTATATCAAAAGTAAACTATTAATTTCTTGACTTAGATGTGACAATGTTGCTGCCAAGAATGTTCTGGGCTGGGGATGTAGGTCAGTGACAAAGCACTTGCCTAGAATATGCAAGGCCTTGGGTTTCACCCCCAGCACCACATTAAAAAAAAAAAAAGTTCTTCTATATGTTCTTTCACTAATAAACACCCTCAGTGAGGAGATAAACAGAAAGTAACTCACCTGGCTCCCCAGCCATCCTTCAAACCCCACTGCCCAGTTCAGGTTGCATCAGGCCTGCTGACCGGAGTCCAGGAGACAGAAGCTGGAGGTCATTCTGCATGTAGCCCTGTCTGGAGAGCAGAGTCTACACTTTCTGGCTGGACATCCACAGATGCCACGTTAACTTCCAGAAGGAAGAGGTCACAGGGTGGGTCTGGCAGCCACTCAGCTGCCATGTTCACAGGAAGTTCACTGGAAAATGAAAGAGTGACTCAAATGAGGAGCTGCATCAATTAACCTCACCTGTGGTTCCCAAGGGAACAAACCCCTAAGGATCCTGGGTAACAAGAGCCTTTCAAACTCACTTGGGAGATATCAGTTATCTGTTGCCCAAAACACCCTAATTGGATATGATTTGTAGGGTTTCTGCCTCCTCATGAACCACATAAAAGCACCAGGTGAAGACATATTAGTGTATCTTCCAGTCCCAGTGACACAGCCTAAAACCCCTGCAAGTAAGGACCTCCTGGTACAGATGCACTCACATTATGTAGGAGGGTGTGGCTGAGCTCACAGGCCGGAGAGGACTGGCTCTGAAGACATAGGAGGAAAGGACAGGCTGAGTATCCCTTCTCCGAGACGTTGCAGACCAAAAGTGTTCTAGATTTTTTTAGCTGCATATACGTAATGAGATACCTAAGTCTAAACATAGATTTGTTTGTTTGGTACCCAGGATCAAACTTGGGTCTTTGCGCTTGGAGGCAGGTAACAGAACCACTGAGCTATATCCCCGGCCCCAGATTTGTTTATTCTTCATATACACCTTATACCCATAGCCTAAAGATAATTTTACACAATACTTTCCTTACATCTGCATTTTGACTGTGATCCATCACATGAGGTCAGGTACACAATTTTCTACCTGCCGTATCGTGCCAGTGATCAAAGTTTCAGATTTTGGAACATTTTGGATTTCAGATTTTCAGATTGAGGAGGTTCAAACTGTATTCTTAACCTCTTTTTTTTTGGTGCCAGGGATCGAACTCAGGACCTTGCACTTGCAAGGTTGGTGCAGTGCCACTGAGCTAAATCCCCAGCCCAGAAACTGCATTCTTTATATCCCTGTGTTTACCTCTTGGAGAGCTCTTTCTAGAAGCAAAATGCCAGGAAATTTGAAATTGAAGGTGATGTTAAATGTATAGCCACAGTCTTTATCAACTCTTCCTATTACTCAGATATATAGCATGCAGTAAAAAGTGCTCTGTTCTACTTGGGTCATGTTAGAAATTTGGTCCTGATCCAGATTCTTTTTTTTTTTGAGACAGGGTCATGCTATGTACTTAAGGCTGGTCTTGAACTCAATATGTATCCCAGGCTGGCCTCAAACTCCTGGTGATCCTCCTGCCTCAGCTTCCTGAGTGCTGGGATTATAGGTGTGTACTAGCACACCTGGCCCCAGACTCCTGATTCATGGAATCACAGGTACTCATGAGATTAGCTCATCCAATTGCTTACCTTTCAGAATTACTCAGAGGAAGTTTTGTAGAGATCCATAATCCCTTAGCAGCAGCTCTGAAATTTGAGTGTCCTCTATGAAATAAAAGTTGGATGCCCAAACTAATTTGGGAGCAAAATTTTACCCTAAATGATACGTCTATTTATGATCCTTATACTTACATTTAGTATAAATAATGATACGTTTCACTGAGGACACACCCATATGTTTTATTACAGGGTGCTGCCCCAAGTCTTTCTTGGAGGTATTGTGTAATAACGTACAGCATCATATCTGAAAAATTCTAAAGTCTCCAATTCACAGCTCAGGAGTTTCACAAAACCTCCAGGTGATGACCAGCTATGAGTGAGCTCTTGACCTGTCAGACTGCGGTTGTAGCACTTTCATTAAATGGAGACTCCGCTTTACTGGCTCAGAAGCATAATATATCTAACCCTAACTTGAAATGCATGCCTTGCAGAAAATTTGGCAAAATCACTATGCATACCCCCGAATCCTGACTCTGTGAATCTGTACTGGTTGTACTTACAAGGGCTGTGTCTCCTTACAGGCACAACTCCATTTTCTCTTACTGCTTCTCATATCAGTGAAAACATAAGCATCTATCCAGGGCAAACACACTTAAGGTGAAGAGTGACTAAAAGGAACACAACATACTCAATAATTTCCTTTAGTCCGCTTCAGGTCAGGGCTCAGTTTGTGACTTTCATATGGTGCTAGTGATAGAGGGCAGCAAGTAATCCAAATAAGTAAAAACAACCCAAACAAGAGAAATACTGTAACTCTCAATCTGCTAGGATCTATTACGATGGCTTCTAAGAGACAGAAGGAGTATGGGAAAGTGGGTTGCCTGCCCACCCTTTTCAAAGGTGTTTCATAGGTAGGCAGGTACAAAGTGGGTCAAAACTTAAGACCCAATGGAAAATCATAATGGGCATGAGGTGGGAAAAAAACCATGATCAACCAGTAAGATTACAAGTACAGTCACCCAGGTAGTATTGATTAAATGGGGATCAAATGGGAAAATAAGTCACTTAGTGAACGTACAAGGAATTTCCAGAAAGGAAATGGGCTAGGAAGATTGCTGCTTATTTAGAACATTAATCAGTGCTACATACCCCCAGGGGAAGTGAATGGGTGCAGTACTTTCTCTTTTTATAATACTAACTAGTGAATGAGTTTCCATTGTCTTCTCCTATTGTCTCCTCCAGGGCTGGCCCTGTGTGCCTACACGATATCTAATTAATTTACCCATCTTCAATATTGGCACTAGGTTCCTCTTTCCACTCTCCAGGTCAGTCTGAAATCAAGATTTGGACCTTTTATTGAGGAGGGAAGGGACAGCTTGTAGGGGCCAGGGCATCTGAAGGCTTCATGGGTGAGAACATTTTTAGATTGAACAAATGGTTAAGGTTACACTCATAGGCACAGCTGCAGTCCAAACAGAGGAAATGTAGCTTTTCCTTGCTGCCCTCTGGAACGTACTCAACTATGTATAACTGATTGCTCCTGTCACAGGCTGAATGTGTATCAACAGGCTGAAGGACATTGCAAAGGAAATTCATGAGTCCCGACTCATATCTGATGGAAAAAAATCAAAAAGGAAATGCAGGTGTTCACAGTCTCATAAATTTCTGCACATACCCACCATGTGCTCTTTAAAGTTGGATCCCAGGATAGATATGGAAATCCCCTTCCTGCTTAAAGCACTATTATTATCATTTGCAGCACCTGGGATGGAATCCCGGGAGCTTACTACTAGGCTCCATCCCAACGCTCTTCCTTTTATTTGGAGATGGAGTCTAAGTTGCTCAGGCTGCCCTGCAGTTTATGGTCCTCCTGCCTCACCTCCCTGGTAGCTGGGATTGTGTGTGTGTGTGTGTGCCACTGTGACAGCCTTAAAGTGAGATTCCCATAGGCAGCACTGAATTGTCTATCTCTATGGATCTGGGTTGGCCTCTATGATAAGGGAACTACCTTTGGGAGAAATCTGTGCTCTGGAACCTGTCCTCTTTTGTATTCAGAAGACAGGTCTGAGCTACAGCTGTTGAGACGGCTGTTCTCACGCGGTGCCCTAAGCTACGCACCAAGGCTTCTGCTCTGCTGCTGATGCAGAGGCCTCAAATTACTCTACCAAAGAGAGGTCCACACCACGTGTGTGTCCATAACGCTAGTGAACTGTACACTAAAAATGGATAATATAGTAAAATTTAGGTTATCGGGTTTTTTGTTTCATTTTGTGGTACTGGAAATTGAACCACCAGGACTTCCACTTGGAGCTACATCCACTCGGAGCTACATCCCCAGCCTTTTTTTTTTTCCACTTTTTTGAGACAGTGTCTCACTAAGTCACTCAGGCTCAAAATTGTGATTTTCCTGCCTCAGCCTCAGATGGCGCCAGGACATCCGACACTACGTATATTTTACTATAAAAAGAAACAGAGCCAGGCAAGGTGGCACCCGTGTCTGTCGAGCATAGTCCTCTGAGGACAAGTGAGCACCAGGAGAGCTAGGAGTGCTTTTGTTTTCTTCACTCCTGTACTGTGATACCCAGACCTGAGCCCAGCACATAGTAGATGCTCTGCATGCCTGGAATCCCAGCACTCTGGAGGCTGAGGCAGGAGGAGTGCTGTGAGTTTGAGACCACCCGGAACTACACAGCGAGACCCTGTCTCAAAGAAAAGAAAAGAAAAAGATGTTTTGAAGGGATAAAAGTCAGCAAGCAAATAAGCAAATTAGGTCTGAAACTAGTATCCCCACCTGTAGATTGGCCCCCTCTAATCCAATCCTTCCTAGACACTGACCCAAGGGTTACCTTTCAAAAATACAGATCTGCTCTTACTATTCCCAGACCCTCAATTTTCCCATGTTTAGGGAAAAACAACAAACAAGAGTCTTCAAAACAGGAAAAAATAGTGAGTGCCCACCACAGAATATTACATAGGGTCAACTCTGACAAATACCCTAATTTCTCTACAGACCAAAGTCTCAATTAAGAACTCATGAAGAGGGACTAGGGATTTAGCTCAGTGGTTCCGGTGCCTGCTTCACAAGTGCATGGTCTCGAGTTTGATCCCCTGTACCAAAAAAAATAAAAGAACTCGTGAAGAGCTGGGACTGGTGGCACACGCCCATAATATCATCAACCTAGGAGGCTGAGGCAGGATGATCATAAACTTGAATCCATCCTGGGCAATTCGGTGACTTAACAACAACTTGTCTCAAAATAAAAATATTTATTATCAGACTTTTAAATTAATGCATATAAGTAATAGGTTTCATTTTGCTATATTCATATGAGCATATCTGTAAGTTCTATCATTTCTACCCCATAACCATTTCCTTCCTCCTCCTTTTTGGTCCCTTCCTCTTCTGTACTTGTGTTTATTAGTCCATGTTTGCAGTACATAATGCTTACATTTCTTAGGTGGAGTTGGTACATGTATGTAACGCATTTAATTTTTTTCATCCCCTTTCCTGCCTCTTCCTTCCCCTCCCTCCATTCCTTGGTCAACTTCCCAGTTGAGAAAGATCTACTCCCCTACTTCCTATTATCTATCTTTTATTTTGCTCTTTATTTATACTTGAGGTTTCTCATATAAGAGAAACCATGTGATATTTAGAATTGTGCGTCTGATTTATTTCACTTAACACTATGGTCTCAAGGTGCAGCCATTTTCC